ATTGAGCCCAACTTTCTTCATCATTTTTTTTCTCAATTTTACTTCTACACATTTTCTCTTGTGATTCCAATACTCTCTCTTACTACTCGTACTCATCTATTAACTATTACTAAAACAAAATGTTGCTGACATCATCAATATCCACATGTCGCTCTCATAATAAAAAAAATCCCGCCTAAATACAAGTAAGATTGTGCATCGCACGGGTTCTAACCTAGTTTTTCCTTCTATATTAATTTTCAACTTTGACAATTCACACGAACTACAATTACTTTATCCATTCCCAAAGTGCACACCCCATCACACGCCAAAGAAGATAGAATTACAGGAAAAATGACCAAAGTGAGCTTTATTAAGAAACTATGTTCCATAGTAGACGCGTGGCAAAACTATTTACCAAACTATGCTTCGAGGGTAAAACGCCATCCAGGTTGGCGTTTTCACCATGGCCAATTTTTTTTTTAATATTTCAGTCAGGGAAAAAACGCCAGCCTGGTTGGCGTTTTACCCTAACTGACATTTAAAAAAAAATTCGACTAAGATAGAAAACGCCAACTTGGATGGCGTTTTATAGTTGCACTAAAAATGCCAACCTGGTTGGCTTTTTTGTATCGAGTATATTTTCAGTTTACTTATGTTTTATCATTGTTCTTCAAAAAAACAAAAACCCCCAATTCCCAAACCCTAACCCCCGCGCACATAACTTCGCCAATTCCTCCATATTTGCAGCAAATTCATCACTTCCCATTGCTTAGATCTTCATCACACTCAATAAAAATTGTTCCTCCTTCTTTCTTTAACACTTTTACGCAGTAAATTGATCGTATTTGAGGTATGTATGTAATTTAACTATTTTACTTGTTTTGATGTTTTTTGGGAATTTATGTTTGTAATTTACAATTTATGTTCTATATTGTTGTTCAAGTATGCGATATAAGTATAACTACATAATACATTGTTGTTTAATTATTGAAATTAAGTATATTTATATGTATGTTGTTTAATTTCAAATTAAGTATATGAAGCATACATTATTCTTCAAGTATGTAGGTTTTTTTTTTATTTTTTTGCTAAATATGTATATTTAGTGTGTAATTATGTAATTTAAGTACGTTTACAAACTACATTGTTGAATTAGGTACATTTAAATATATACTACATTGTTGATTAACTAGGTAAATAAGAACATTGTTGAACACTACGTTGTACATACGCTTAGCTTGAGGATTTAATGGAATCATTGTGGTTTTAGTTGTGTTGTGTATTTGTGTCATCTAATATGTGTTCCGATTGTTATGTAGCACATGGCTTCACAATTGATTGTTTTGTTATGCTGTTGGGGGGGGGGTGAAATTCTGTGTGTTGGATCGAACGTCGAGTATAGAGGAGGAAAAATGGAACCATTGGCATTAAAACCTTGTTTGACTTACAATGATTTGTTGAAGAAGGTTTATACTATAACTGGTTCAAACCCAACGAATGTTGAACTGAACATTAAAATGAGGTTTGAGAGTGTCAGTGGGATTCAAATCTTACCTGTTTTGAATGATGACCATTTGGAGGTTTTGAGGGTTGTCGTTGCAATGAGGTCTCTTCCCACTAAATTGTATGTGGAACTGGTGCCTATATATACTCAACAGACTATTCGATTGACAGAGCAACAACCTACATATCTTCCCTCATACAGTACAAGCTCGTTACAAATGCCCTTATACAACATTCCGTCATTTGAATATGGAATGAGATCTTTCAGTAGAATGTTACACGACGATCAATTTGACATTCCATTCAGTTCGCATTTTACTGCACTTGTACATGAAGGGGCGTCGGTGTCAATGTTGCAGCAACCTGGTCTATCTACCTCAAACAATGACATTTCATCACCGATGCAGTTGCATAATTACTCTCCAACGCAAGAACATGTTCAAGCAACACTATCTCAAGCTTTGGTGACTGCTGAAACTGTTGTAAACAACGAATTGTCTGTTCTTGATATGTATGAGGATACAAATGACGAGGGTGAGGGCGGAGGTGAGGAAGATGTTATAAACAACGAATTGTCTGTTGATGATGCTGTGGCTAGAACTCCATTGCCTTGGTTCACTCAAATAAAAGAGAACTATGAGGTGGACATGTATTGGGCTGATTCAGGGAGCCAGACTTCGTTTGTTGTCGGGGGAGAATTTGAGAAGGACATGATTTTCGACAGTAAGAAAGTTCTCCAAGAAATGGTGAAACTGTATTCCATACAATGGAATCAGTTCTACACCACAGTGACATCGAATGAGAATGTTCTTCATCTTAAATGCAAGAGGAAGTGTGGTTGGTCGCTACGTGGTACAAAAACAAAGCTGAACACACATGCCTTTAAGATCATATCTTACAAGGGCCCACATCGTGAAAACTGCATGATGAAGTTCCGCCCAGCGATCACTGACACTTGGAATCCTCCATAATCTGTGACTATGTGAAGTCGTTTGTGCAGAAAGATCCATGTTTGAGAGTTGAATTCATACAAGATCTCATCTCTAACAAATTTCAATTCGATGTTCCCTATCGAAGAGCGTGGTATGCCAAACAGAAAGCTATTGCGGAAATTTTTGGGGATTGGGAGAGTTCGTACAACAGACTTCCTTTTTTCATGCAAGCCCTCTAAGAGTCAAACCCGGGCACCGTAGTTTTATGGAAATACAAAGCTATTGTTGAAGGCTTTTACTACAGTAACATGGAGGTATTTGAACGAGTGTTTTGGGCCTTCAAGCCTTGTATCAATGGGTTTAAATATTGCATGCGTGTTCTCTCTATCGATGGGACACACTTGTATGGGAAATATAAAGGCACACTTTTGGTTGCTACAAGTGTTGATGCTAATTTTCAGGTATTTCCTCTAACATTTGCAATAGTTGAAGGGGAAAACACCTCTAGTTGGTGTTGGTTTCTAAGCTGCATTCGGGTTCATGTTACTGATCGAGATGGCCTATGTGTTATATCTGACCAACATGTTGTGATTATTGTTGCAATAATTGACCCGAATGTTGGATTTCATGAGCCACGGGCCTTTCATAGTTTTTGCGTTCGACACATGGCCTCTAACTTGAGGACTCATGTGAAGAACAACAATATGAGAGATATGTTCAAGGCTACTGCTTACCAACGCCAAGAAAAAAAATTGACTGATGATATGCGTTCTATCGGTGAATCTTGTGTCAAGTCCCTAGAGTACATTATGGATGTGCTGTTTTGCAGGTGGTCCTTGTTTCATGATGCTGGTCGTAGGTATGGAATACGACGTGTTAATGCAGATGACGTGGGATCCATACGTCGCTGACTTAGTCGATGCCATGCCCCCATATTTTCGTGATCATCAAATGGGGTGGCGTGCCATGACAGTCCTCATATGTTTGAGGTAGTGGAGGCTCACCTCCCCAACAGAGTCATGCTACAGTTCGGCATTCGTTAGGTCGTCCCCGCCACATGTGACACGAGTGTCCACTTGCACAGGATAGACCGACGAGGAAAAGGGGACGTAAGCTGGGCAGTTCAGCATGCCCCTTTCATTGACATGTGAGATCAGCGGTTGCAGCACATCGTGGATGGTGCGCCTTTCCAAGGCCGGATGGAGTATCACGATCCATACATGGTATGGTACAGGAGCATTATCCGACGCTTCATCAACCCTAACTACACCCCACCCTCAACTCATTATCATCTAGCTTTTGGAGACATCAGTGGATATGTGAGTTTTAGATGGATTTTTTTTATCAATTAATAATTTATGATATTATTAAATTGACTCATTGTTGACTTATGCAAGTGTTTGATATGCTGGCTATACATGATGCACTGGAAGTCTTGAGCATATCATATCCCACCATACCGTAGATAGATGAAATTCAAGCAATGACTGTGAGTAACTTACAGAGACATGGTCATGGTCATCTTATCCAAGGGTGGGACCAATCACAGCAACGTTCACACTGTGAGGTAGGCGAGAGTAGTAGGGAACAGACTCACACGTCCTCTACAGCGTCCTCGCAGTTTTTTGACATTCAGAAGGATTTCGCCGTACCCTTGTCTGCACCATACTCATCACAGGAGGGACAATTATCCAGCCAACAAACTCCTCCACAGACCTTATGCCCCAGATCCTTTCACAACGGTATCTCAGTACTATCGTCGTTGGAAACCGCGAGTTGATAGACAACAATTACGTCGAATAGATGAATTAGGATCTTAGAATTTCTTTTGTTAGTTTGTTGTAATCGGATTCTCTAGTACGTTGTATCCAAACAAATATTATCAATATTACTGACTTTTTTAATTGATTTTCTGTCCATTATCAACTTCACCATATGCATTCATTCCTTTCAATTAACCGGTTGTTGTTGTTGTTGTGGCTGTTGTTATTGCTGTGGTTGTTGTTGTTGTGGTTGTTGCTTTTGTTGCTGTGTTTGTGGCTGGTGTGGTGTTGTTGTGTTTGTGGCTGTGGTGCCTGCAGTTTGCAGGTTGGATGTTGCAGGAAAAACGCCAACCAGGCTGGTGTTTTTAATGCAGGGATAAAACGCCAACCAGGCTGGCGTTTTTACCTTGGCCAATTTTTTAAAAAAGTTTCAGTCAGGTTAAAAACGCCACCCTGAATAACGCTTTTGCCTTGACTGAAATTTTTTAAAAAAATTTTGCAAGGGTAAAAACGCCACCATGGATGACATTTTACCCTGAAAGCTTAGTTTGGTAAATAGTTTTGCCACGCGTCTACTATGGAGTATTGTTTCTCAATAAAGCTTCCTTTAGTAATTTTTCCAGAATTACAAAGATGTTATAAACTCAAATTTCCAACAAATAATAAAAAATAAAAACCTTAAAATGCTATCAATAATTCTCGACCCTTGAGAGTTTTAAAGAGATAAAGGCATCACTACAAACAAGATCCAAAAGCATGTGCTATAAATAAAGCAATGTATCATTATCACATCTAGCGACAATGGATATATTAAAAAAAATTAAAAGTCATAATCATCAATAATATCTAATTGTTCTTCCTCTTTAATTACATTTCTTTTCCTACAATCAAAATATAAAACTGCGAATATTACATAACTCCATAACACAAACCACCCTAACAAAACCACCAATCCTACCATACATCCAAACCTCATCTCTACCGTCCACGTGTACCCTCCACTATCATTCGCTAAATCTTCACCGTTAATCACCTCAATCATCTGCCTTCCTATAAAACCCGAAATTGAAAGTATCAAGCCCGCCAAAACCCACCCACAAACCCGCCTTCCTTTCATTAAACCCCACCCAACCCATATCGCTTCATGCCCGACCCGGCCCTCTACTACAGACACGACAAGCCCAACTGCAAGCACTGACATTAGATACACCTCGACCGCCACCTGGGCCACCGTCAAGTACCAGTACTCGACGGCGACTCTATTTATGATGGGATCCAAATGGGCCCACCCCACCCACACGATAAAGTTAAATAAGCACGTGAGTATGGGTGGGGACCATTTGACCCTGAGAGCAGACATCGCTGCGCTCAGGGTCACTTTCTTTTTCCTGCGTAGAGCAGCATGAGTCGAAACAACAATAGTAGTCAAAGCAATCAATGACAACACAAGAATAGGAACACCGTGAAGGAGCTTACGACGAAGAAGCTTCCTCGAGTCAGCTCGAGACTCGTCTTGAACATTGGCTGCTTCTATCCAAATAGGAACCACATCGACGAGCCATTGAAGGCGGGCGATGTGAGATTTAAGGAAGCGTGGCGTGGCGGAGACGGAGTTGGAAGTTATGAGGATGGCTAGTGGGAGGGTGGTGAAAGTGTAGAGGATTAAATAGAGGTTGGGATTGCGTAAGAAGATGATCTTCAAAGAATCTAGGAAAATGGAAAATAAAGGAGTTAAGAAGTTGGATTTGGAAATTGTTCTAGTTGAATTAATTTCATTCTCTAACATTTTGAATTTAGTATAGAAATTAATTGCTGTTTTTGAAAATATTATGTATATTTGAGATGGGTTTAATTATAAGTAGAGGATTGGATTAAAAGGGAAAGAAAGTCGCATTCAAAAAGAAGAATGAAAGTAAAGTCGTCCAAAATTGAAGAAATTAGATGAGGAATGAGTGAGTACATGGCTAGTTGTATTGCCCTGACAAGGTCGCGTGTGATCCGCAATTTCTTTCAATAATTTTTTTGGTTTTGTTTAATTGAAAAGTGCTTAGGGAGGGGTGCGTGAGAAGTGCCTAATTGAAGATTTTCCGTGGGTTGTGTTTGGGGAATAATTTTTCTTGGTCTTACATAGTCAAATAAAATGGTTTGCTTTTTAATTGTGGGTTACCTTTCATTAATTACGAGACAAAAATCTGCAGCATTTGCATTCTTAATAGTCTTTGGGTTTAGTCTGAAGTTTAGTATAGAAATTAATTGGTTTAAGGGCGCGTGTGTTCGGCAAAATTTTGCGGTGAAGGTAATTGTTAGTTGTAATTTTAGCTGTAACAAGTTATTAGCTGTGAAGATAGATAATTGAGGTATGTGTGTTCGGTAAAGTAACGATCGACTAGCTGTTATACATAAAAATCAATATATTTTTCCCCTAAAACTATAGATTAATTTTTAACAGTTGCCTTTTAATATTCAAAAAAAACTAATACTACTAAAACACTACACCAACCATTGCCAAACAATAATATATACTTCCTCTGTTCTAATAATATTACAACAATTGGAATTTTACCCTATTCATCACGCTTGTTTGACCACATATTATGATTTATACGTAATGTAAAATATAGTCATATGGGGTCTTGTTAGATTCGTCTCATAAAATACTTTCATAATATCAACTTTTTATAATTTTTACTCTTATATACTTATAGATATTTAGTATATAACATGTGCTTTGGGATGCGTAATCTCATTCTTATTGCAATATTTGTGGAACAGAGAAAGTATATTTTTTAATTAAGTAGTGGTTTGATTTGGTCAAAGCACTTAAAACTACTCTAAAGTTACTACCTGTCGAACACGCCCTACGATGTGTTGTCATGGCGGCGTGGGTTGGTGCATAGATTGGTATGGGCCTATGGGATCTCATACTAGGGAAGAATAGGGATTCTAAACTTCATAGTCCATATTTGTCTAAATTTGATTGGTTTATTTTTGGAATAGTTTTTACATCTCATTACAAAAATAAATTGTGAATCTTAGGGGTAATTAAGTAGCACTAGTAGAAAAAAGCAATTGGACTGCCCCGAATGGGAAGCGATTATTGTATTCCGCTTCCAAAAACCCACAAAAACCCACAAAAAAAAAACACAAAACTGAAACATACAAATGGGGAGGGTTTTGGGTTGAACCGCTTCCTAATATTGTAATTGGAAGCGGTTTAATGTTTAAACCGCTCCCCATTCCTAAAAAAAACCCTAAAAGTAATACTAATACGAGCCTCCACTCTACTCACGCCTCCTCCTTTCTTTCTCCTCCTCTTCACTCTCACGTTCTCATCTCTCTCCTCTCATCTCCTTCTTCTCACACATCTCTCCTTTCTCTCTCCTCCTTTCCATTCTCATCTCCTTCTTCTCACCGAGCAGACCCCACCGAGTAACAACACCGACAGCAAACCCACCGAGCAGCCCCCACCACAGCAAACCATCGAGCATCACCGACTCACTGAGCAACAACGCAGCACCAACAACAACATCGACGAGGCGATACCCACCGAGTACCATCAACGTTTTTCAGATCTAATTTTAATTTAGATAAGAATTTAGATCTAGTTTTATTTTTTTTTTTCCAAATTTCATCTTTATATGCATTTCTGAACTGTAGCTTATGTTAGATTGCTTTGAATTGGTTAGCTTTATGGATTATTTGCATTTTTTGAGTTGAAATTTGGTTAGGGTTTGTAAATTTATTGATGTGTTAATGAATTTGTTTCAATTTATTTGCATAATGAGTAAACTTTGTGAACTATTTTTTTTTTTTATGTTCGTTCGTTGCGGTGGAGGCTTCAGATGCCGTGGTGGAAGAATAGAAGTGCGGTGGTGGCAGAATAGCAGTGCGGTGGTGGCTTCAGTAGTTTTAATTTTTTTTTAATTAAAATGCAATATTACAACAATTTATCAATGGAAATATATATTTTTTATACATATGTTTAGTTTTTATGTATCAATTTCTGTGAAAAAAGCAATTTTTTTTAATTTTTTTTAAGGCATAATGGGGAGTGGTTCAGAGCCCAAACTGCTTCCCATTACCTTCAAATGGGAAGCGGTTTAATGGGATGTCCCCCAAGCCCAAGCGGTTCAAACCGCTTCCCAATAGGGGTTTTGAACCGCTTGCCATTTGCTTTTTTCTACCAGTGTAGATATGAAATTCTAGGGGGATGAGGTGGAATTAGAACCCTCTTGGTATGAGATTCCTTTCTTAGCTTAAATTGCCTAACCAAACAATAAAATGAATGAAATTGACTTAAATTACATTTCAATCCATTCCAAAAGCTCCAACCAAATGAATTGAACCCTTAACTTATTGCTTATGATCTAATTTGATTGTTTGATTTGATTAAACTTTGTCCTTATATGTACGTTAATCTTAAAGGGAAAAAAATATATCAAGTGGGCTATGGTTTAGTTAGATTTGTAATATTGTATTATATTAATATGTATTTTTCATAATTATTTTCATTACAAAACTAAAAGGTATTTTGATAAAAATCCGCAGTTTAAAGGATAAAATGTAATTAAACTTATTCTTTTTGATCTAAATTGAGCTAAACTTAGTTTTTCTGATCTTATAAAACATAAGCTGAATTAAATCACAACTTGATCATTCAACAGATTTCCTCAATTTTTGCAAACGAGATAGATGATAACTGATTGTTCATTATCAGACTCAAATGTATGTATGATAATACACAAATTTTTATATGTGGCTAGCCACACCATGTGGCCAACCATCATGGAGGTTACGTTGTCAGTGCTATAGGGATTACTCACTCGGTCTGGGTTACTAAGTCAGTCAGGGGTTACTCGGTCAGGGCTTACTTTGTTAGTGCTATAGGGGTTACTTACTTGGTCTGGGTTACTAAGTCGGCCAGGGGTTACTTTATTAGTGCTATAGAGGTTACTTACTCGTTCTGGGTTACTAAGTCGGTCAGGGGTTACTTGGTCGGTCAAGGGTTACTTGGTCGGTCAAGGGTTACTCGGTCGGTCAGGAGTTACTCACTCGATCAGGGGTTACTAAGTCGTTCAGGGTTACTCACTCGATCAGGGGTGGTTACTTGGTCGGTTAGGGGTTACTCGTTGGTTAGGGGTTACTTAGTGTATGTCAACTGGCCACACGGTGTGGCCAGGTCAGCCGCAGACAAAAGTTGCTAATGATAATAATAACTCTAGGGAGCACATGCATATTAATTGAAAAAGAATGAAAAATTTGTTATTCATGCATCGCTTATATATCCGATACAATATACTCGTAATAAATACAAAACACTCTCGATGAACGAAAAAGAACACAAATCAAATCAAGCATGATACCCAAATTAAGGGGGAAAAAAGCCACACTCAAACAATGAAAAAAATTTAGGGTTAGGAAGATTTTGGCTTAGAAGAGGTAGTGATTTTAAGCTTTCTTGAACTTAACTCTAAGAGGTGGAGCACCAACACCCAAAAGCCAAGTTCCATCTTCTTGAACATAAACACCCAAGTCTCCGCAAATGGCCTCTTTGTAGCCGGGAAGATCATTAGCACTAGGGCAATACACCAACTTATAATCAAAATGAAATCTTGGGAAAAACCTCTCAATCTTAAACCAACTCTTGATGGTGTTAGGACCACGCAAGTTAATTGAACCACCAAGAATCACGTATTGTGTTTTGTTTTTTTGGTTTCCGGGCTTCAATGTCCATATAGGGGATTGGTTGCATCCATTAGAGGATGTAAAAGCTATGTTCATGTCTGTGGAGAATGTAATATTGGTGGAGCCGGACTTGATTGGTTTGAAAGTTATAGGAATGCCTAGAGCCTTTGTGTCTGTCTCTTGGACTACATTTAGAGGGCAATCTTCGTAGGCATTTTTAGGTCTTGTTCCTATGCCACCACCTCGGCGTTGGACGACTGGGAGGATGTAGTACTTTTGGCCACTTACCACTGGTTTAGCATCCGTGTCAAATATGTTCACTATGGTCACGGGAGCAGCTGGTGGTGGTGGTGGAGGGGTTGGGCCGTGGTCGTGATCATGGTCATGATCATCATGAGCTGCTGGTGGTGGTGGTGGTGGAGGAACTGTGCCATGATCATGGTCATCTTGAGCAATAACAGTGGTTAAAGTAAGAGTGAGCAAAAGGAGGAGGAAGGAGGAAAGAATAGGGCTATTATATTTGTTAGCCATTTTTTGAACTTCTAAGTTAGAATTTGAAATGATAATGTTAGCTAAGCTGGATGGATGCCAAGTATAACAATATGTCTCACTATTTATAGAAAACACATATGTACGTACGAGGAATACTTGAAGCGTTGACTTTCTTATGGATAATGGTTTGTACTTGTACTTAGTGGAGGGCATTAACGTTTATGCAATAATAATAAGCCTATAAATAACTAATCTACATCTGGTGGTGTGTAATGTGTATGACTTCTTTCTATTTATGTGTTCATTGTGTCAACATATTGTTTGCATTGACTTTGTTTAGGGAGGGGTGCGTGAGAAGTACCTAATTGAAGATTTTCCGTGGGTTGTGTTTGGAGAATAATTATTCTTGGTCTTACATAGTCAAATAAAATGGTTTGCTTTTTAATTGTGGGTTACCTTTCATTAAATACGAGACAAAAATCTGCAGCATTTACATTCTTAATAGTTTTTGGGTTTAGGGCTTGTTTGGATCACTTTCTTTTTACTGATCTGATCTGGTCTAGTCTGATCTGATCTGATCTGGTCTGGTCTGATCTAATTTGATTGTCTGATTTGATCAAACTTTGACCTTAAGTGTACGATAATCTATAAGGAAAAAATATATCAAGTGGGATCTTGTTAGATTCGTAATAATGTGTAGTTTATTAATATGTAATTTTCACAATTTTTTTCATTACGAAATTAAAAATATTTAACGATAAAAAATCGCACATAAAACGATGTTCTGATCTGAACTTATTTTTTCTGATCTGATTTGATCTGAACTTATTTTTTCTGAAATAAGTAAAAATAAGTTGAACTAAACAAGGCCTAAGTGTGAAGTTTAGTATAGAAATTAATTGGTTTAAGGGCGCGTGTGTTCGGCAAAATTTTGCTGTGAAGGTAATTGTTAGTTGTGCATGTAATTTTAGCTGTCAACAAGTTGTTAGCTGTGAAGATAGATAATTGAGGTATGAGTGTTCGGTAAAGTAGCGATTGACTAGCTGTTACACATAAAAATCAATATTTTTTCCCCTAAAACTATAGATTAAATTTTTAACAGTTACCTTTAATATTCAAAAAACCTAATATTTTTAACTTTTGATAAAAGCTACCTCCACTACTAAAACACTACACCAACCATTGCCAAACAATAATATAAACTTCCTCTGTTCTAGTAATATTACAACAACTGGAATTTTACACTATTCATCACGCTTGGATGACGCTGCCTGGTGTCGATGCTTCCCAGCAACACTGAAGGGCATAGCCCAACGGTGGTTCGGCAACCTGCCGGCTGGGTGCATCAATAACTTTAAGACGCTTGTATATTTGTTCGCGTCCAACTTCTCCATGAACTTCCCGGCCAAGAAAACCAGTCTCGGCCTAGGGGCTATCCGGCAGGGTGACAAGGAGGGACTTCGGTCCTATGTCAGGTGGTTCAATCTGATGAGAATTCAGATACAGACTTCTTCAAGGGTCTGAAGGATGGGTCGACATTCAAGTTCGACCTAGTTCGCAAGAGGGTTGCTACCCTCCAGGAGGCACTAATGGAGGCTTAAGCCTACATACAGGCGACATAGCTCTGTGCCGTCAAGCACTCGTCAGAACCCAGGCGGTCTGACGTAAAAGAGAGTCGGTTCCAGCAGCCAGCCAGAAAAGAAGAGAAGAAAAGAAAAGAAGTCTGGGCAGCTGACCGCCCAGGAGAGTCATCCCAGAAGAAGCAAAAGAAGTTGGAACCGTACATCCCCAAGTACGAGTTCAACAAGGACTGCTCCTCCATCCTCATGGAGATAAAAAACCGGTTGACCATTGAGAAGCCTGCTCCTTTGAAGAGCGCTGTCAAAAATCGGGATAAGAGCAAGTATTGCCAATTTCATGAGGACATTGGCCATGAGACCAATGGTTGCTACAGCCTTAGGCGGCTATTGGACCGATTAGCTGATGAGGGGGCTTTGAAGTCCTATCTAACGAAGTCCAAGGGTAACCCCAAAAACGGTGGACAATCGTCTAAGAAGTCGATGGTGAGCTCTGACACAGCATATCTACACCATTGCAGGCGGCTTCGCTAGCGGTGGTCCCACCATCAGGGGTGCCAAGGACAACATGAGAAAGTTGTCCACCTCAGAGGACGAGGGCCAGGCGTCGAAAGACGTCTTCCCAGAGGTCTTCATCTCTGAGAAAGACAGGGGTACGGTCAGGCGGCCCCACGATGACCCCATCGTCATCGAATGTAAAGTTGCCAATCAACGAGTTGGCCGGATCCTAATTGATACCGGGAGCTCGTCTGACCTGATAAGCTATCGCTGCTTGGCGAAGCTAAAGTACAAGCCCAGCAGTATGCATAAAGCTCCCTACCCCCTAGTCGGCTTTGGAGGTGGGGTAGTGCATCCGGTAGGTAGGATCGACTTACCCATCCGGTTGGGAGGCAAGGGGGAAGGACGACACATGGTCGTCAAGTTTCTGGTAGTCGAAGAGCTGACTGCCTACAACCTCATATTGGGGCGTCCGACCCTCAATGAGTCCAAGGCGGTAATCATCCCCTCTCTCATGCTGATAAAATTCGAGAGGGATGATGGGTCAGTAGGCTCCCTAAACGGGGACCAAAAGGCGGTTAGGGAGTGCTATCTCTCAGACGTTAGGCCGACTGCCCATGCAGCCGGCCCCAGCGAGGAACCTACTGACCTCGATGACAAAGAAGCCGGGCATGTCCCTAAGGCAAGCGGTACAAAGAAAGGCGGACCAATTGGCCCCTGCCAGAAAAATGAAATAGCAATCACTAGCCGGGGAAAGGCCGGACGACTCCCGGCCCCAGCCGGCTGGTGAAAGCCTTGATGTCGTCCTGGACGACATCCGTCCTAACAGAACAATTAAATTTAGGACGATCGCTTTTGAAAAGTTGGGGGCAGACTTGCTCCAACTTCTGAGAGAGTTCAAAGACCTCTTCGCTTTTGAAGTGGAGGAGATGCCAGGCATCAGCCCGGATCTAGCCGTTGATCCCAAAATAAAGCCAGTTAGGCAAAATAAGAGGGATCATGGTGAGGAGAGGTCTCAGGCGGCAGCCGCCGAGGTCAAAAAGCTCCTCGACGCTGGGTTCATTCGGCAATGCTACTACCCGGATTGGGTAGCCAATGTTGTCCTTGTCAAAATACCGAATAGTACTTGGCGGATGTGTGTAGACTACACAGACCTGAACAGGGCATGTCCAAAGGATAGCTACCCGCTTCCTAATATAGACAGCCTGGTTGACTCTACAGCCGGCCATGCCCTGATGAGCTTCATGGACGCCTACTCAGGCTTCCATCAAATTCCCCTATGGAAGAAGGACCAGGAAAAGACGGCCTTCGTCACTGATCAGGGGTTGTACTGCTATACGGTGATGCTGTTTGGGTTGAAGAATGCGCCTACTACTTTCCAACAAATGATCAACACGGTTTTCACCAATCAAATCGGAAGGAATGTGGAGGCGTATATAGACGACATGATAGTCAAATCCAAGCTCCAGGCGGATCACCTAGCTGACCTCCGAGAAACCTTCACCACACTGAGGCGGCACAAGGTCATGCTTAACCCCAAGAAGTGTGTCTTTGGTGTTGAGTCTGGGAAGTTTCTCGGATTCTTGATTGATCAAAGAGGCATAGAGGCCAATCCAGAGAAGGTCCAGCCGGTGATTGACATGCAATCACCCCGAACCGTCAAGGAAGCCCAGAAGCTAACCGGTTGCCTGGCAGCATTAGGAAGATTCTTCAGTCGGTCAGGTGATAAGTGCCTTTACTTCTTCCAGGCAATCAGGAAGAGGTCCAGATTTGAATGGGGAGAAGAGGCTGAGGCGACATTTCAAAGGTTAAAACAACACCTGGACTCGTCGCCCAGACTAGTGAGCCCCCTTTCCAAGGAGGTTCTCTACATGTACCTAGCCGTCTCAGATCACTCCCTCAGTGCCGTTCTCCTTGCCGAGAGAGACGGCAAACAGCTTCCGGTGTATTTCATGAGCCATATTCTCAGAAACGCTGAGCTCCGGTACCCAATGATTGAAAAATTTGGGCTGGCTCTCTACAAAGCAGTCAAGCGGCTGAAGCCATACTTCTTGGCCCATCCGGTGATTGTCTATACTGATCAGCCACTCAAACGTCCAATGACTACCATGGAGTCATCCGGCCGAATGATCAAGTGGGCTGTTGAAATTCAAAGCCTGGAAATAACTTTTGAGCCTAGGCAGGCAGTGAAGGGTCAGACATTTGCTTACTTCATTGTCTAAATGACTAGGTTGGCTCAGCCGGAAGATGCCGGCCAGGTTTGGAAGTTATTTGTAGACGGAAGCTCTACGGTAAACGACTGTGGTGTAGGCGTAATTTGCAAATCTCCGGAAGGAGATACATACGAATATGCACTACGGTTCAAATTCAAAGCTTCAAACAATGAAGCTGAGTATGAGGCCCTGCTAGCCGCTATGCGCATGTGTAAGGCGGCAGGGGCAAGAAAAGTTGACGCCTGCTCAGACTCTCAATTGATTGTCAGCCAATTCAATGGTGACTACGAGGCCACCCATCCGGCAATGACCAAATACCTGCAGGCGGTCAAAGAGGAGGCGGGGGCATTTGATGAGTTCCATTTGTGTCAGGTGCCCCGGTCCGAGAACAACCAGGCCGATGCTTTGTCCAAGCTGGCCTCATTCGCCACCTGCAATATGCGTAGGTTAGTCTTTTGGGAAGTCATGGAAAAAAGAAGCATTGAGCATGATCCCATTGGAATCTTAGACCGAAGCTCCACCTGGATGGACCCCATCCGGGATTATTTGGTAGACGACACCCTGCTGGATGCCTGATCAGAAGCGGCAGCGCTTAAATAGCGAGCTCTAAGCTTTGAAATGTTCAAAGGGGAACTATTTAGAAAGGGTTACCTCAAGCCGTTGCTGAAGTGTGTTACCCCAGAAAGGGGAAAAGAGGTGTTAGAGGATCTGCATGCGGGCTTTTGTGCTTCACACATAGGCGGTAAGACTC